CACTGCACTCCAGTCTGGGCGACCGAGTGAGACTCCAACTCAAAAACAAAAAACAAAAAAAAATAAAAAATAAAAAATAATTTTTTAAAAAGTGCATGGGCATTTTTTTAAAAAGTGCATGGGCATTATTCCAGGCCAGGCACAGTGGCTTATGCCTGTAATCCTAGCACTTTGGGAGGCCAAGGCAGGAGGATCACCTGAGCCCAGGAGTTCAAGACCAGCCCAGGCAACATAACAAAGCCTCCTTTCTACAACAATCAAAAAAGTAGCTGGACGTGATGTTGCGCACCTGCAGTCTTAGCTACTCGGGAGGCTGAGGCAGAAGGACAGCCTGAGCCCAGGAGTTCGAGGCTGCAGTGAGCCATGATTGTACCTCTGTACTCCAACGGGTGACAGAGTGAGACCCCCAACTCAAAAAATAATTATAATAATAGCAAGGTGAAGCAGGCAGAGTCTGGCTCCAGGATTCCCCTGTAGGGGAAGTGGGCTGTGGCTTTCACTTGGCACACAAGCTTTAAACATCTTAGTAAAATGTCCATCATTTGGTGACAGGTGGGATTCATGAACAACGGGCGAATCAAAGCTCTAGACGTTGAGTGCTACATTAACGGAGGCTGCACACTGGATGACTCGGAGCTGGTGCGTGTGTCAGAAAACGGCAACATCCTGCATCCCGAACGAGATGCAGAATTTCTAGATGAGTTTTTATGAAGCATGTTTTCTAGAGTGGTTTAATCCCACAAACAATCCAATTCTGTACTTGACTTTCAGAGAAAAGAGAAAAAGTGGTGTCCTTTTACTTTAGGTAACAGAATTTCTCATCCTGAAGCTGGAAAATGTATATAAGATTCGCAACCTCAGGTTCCAGGGTCGTGCATGCATGACAAATTTGCCATCCAATACAGCATTTCGAGGATTTGGTTTTCCACAAGGAGCCCTGGTGACAGAATCTTGCATCACAGCTGTGGCTGCCAAATGTGGCCTTCCACCAGAAAAGGTAATGTTGTCATCAAAGTTATATCAAGGTTGCTAAAGAATCACACACCATGGTGAACCAGGTGCCTTGACCCAAGGGAACGCACTAGAAGACCCACACAAATTAGCCCTGGTTCAGAACTCAGAAGAAATTATACCTAAAAGAACTTCCTCCTAGCTTAACCCTCCTCCAGGCTGAAGTGCTGTGGCCCAGGCAATCCTTCTGCCTCAGCCTCCTAAGTAGCTGGGACCACAGGTGCACACCACCACACCCTGCTAATTTCTTTTTCATTTTTTTGTAGAGATGAAGTCTCACTATGTTGCCCATGCTGGTCTTGAACTCCTGGGCTCCAGCAGTCCTCTTAACCTGGCCACCCAATATGCTGAAATTGCAGGCATGAGCCACAGTGCCCAGCTTCTCTTTTTTTCTTTTTTTTTTTTCTTTGTACAAAAATAATTACTCTTTAAAGTTCAAACCACATTGAAGTAATCAAAATAAAAGTGAAGAACCCTTTTCACCTCCCCCATCCTTGCTGGTCAAGGATAATCATTGTTAACAGTTCCATGTCAATTGCTCTCTTTGTCTATCTTTGGCCACACACATACATTAACATTGACATATAAACTAAACAAGTGAGTATACAGCTATTTACCAAAATAGGGCCACTACATACACATAATTCTGCAGCCTCCTTTGTCTACTCGACAATAGCTGTGGCGATCTCTCCAGGTCTACAGACTGGGCTACCTTATTCTTTTTTCACAACTAAACAGCACTCTGTAAAATGGATGTCCCATCATTTAGTTCACCACTCCACCATTGATACACATTCTGATTGTTACCCATTTGGGGTCACTAAAATGATGTAATAAACATCTTGGTACATATGTACCAAGGGTCTATCTTTGGCCTATTGTGTAAATAAATCTATAGAGTAAATTTACACCAGTGGAATGCCTTATACACTAAAACTTTTGAGAGACACTGCCCAAAAGTACCCTCCAAAAATATTTTGCACGATATACTAGAAAGTGCCCAGGATGCTAGACCAGAGAGAGGAAGCTTCCAGAAGTGAGATCACGCTGATAACCCTCCTGCACTCCTCACACAATCCAATCAGAGCCCAGTCTGCTTCCTCCATTTCTATCCTGTTTCCCTGATCTAGTCCCTCTACAGCAGCAAGGACTCCCTGCACACTGGCCCTCAAACCCCCTCCAACAGGGACCTCCAGGTTTGTGACTTGATTTGTGATTTGCTTTTTGTGGGGTTTTTGTTGCTGTTGTTATTGTTGTTGTTAGGTTCTTGGGGGGAGGAGTGTAGTCTCATGCTATCACCCGGACTGGAGCACAGGGGCATGATCACAGCTGACCACAGCCTCAGCCTCCTGGGCTAGGCGATCCTCCTGCCTCAGCCTCTCGAGTAACTGGGAATACAGGCACGTGCCACCATGTCCAGCTAATTTTTTTTTTTTAGAGAGAGACAAAGTCTCACTATGTTGCCCAGGCTGGTCTCGAAATCCTGGACTAAAGCAATCCTCTCGCCTCAGCCTCCCAAAGTGCTGGGATTCCTGTTGGAGCCACCATGCACGGCCTGTTGTGCATCCCATGTATAAGAGAACACCTAATATTGTGTACAAGGAAAACCATAGTTATCCTAAGAGAAGTCACATAAAGTGTTCCATGGGTACAAAGGAAGAAGACATCATATTGACATGGGGGGCACAGGGAATAAGAAAGAACTTTCTGGAGAAGATAGCATTTGAGATAGGCCTTGAAGAATGATAGGCACATGGTGGAAGGGTAGTCTAGGCAAGTAGAATAGCATGAACAAGGAGAGTCCATCTCTTGATGGCTCAGCTTCCCTATCTATAAAATGAGGACAAAATGAATCACCTTGTAGAGTTCCTGCAAGAATCAAATAATTTAACATTCATTAAAATATTTATTTTCAGGTCAGATGTAGTGGCTCATGCCTATAATCCCAGCACTTTGGGAGGCTGAGGCGGGAGGATTTCTTGAGATCTGAAGTTCAAGATTGACCTGGTCAACCTAGTGAGACCTTGTCTCTACAAAGTAAAATACAAATTTTAAAAATATATATATTTGTTTTTGACCAGGCACGGTGGCTCAAGCCTGTAATCCCAGCACTTTGGGGGGCTGAGACAAGAGGCTTGCCTGAGCCCAGAGGTTCAAGATCAGTCTGGGCAACTTGGTGAGACCTTGTCTCTACAATAAATCAAAAAATTAGCTGGGCGTGATAGCGCATATCTGCAGTTCCAGTTACTTGGAAATCTGAGGTGGAAGGATCACGGGAGCCCAACAGGTCCATGCTGGGATGGCCATAAGCATGTCACTGCACTCCAGCCTGGGTGACGAAGTTTGACACCAAGTCAAAAAATATATATATATATATTTTGTTTGTTTGTTTGTTTTCATAAACTGGACAGCACTATTTCAATGTTGTTGCTGATAATAATCATTCTTTTATGGTTATTTTAAGACTCCTGGACATAACTCTCCTTCTTCTTTGTCAAGTATTACAAGTTCCCAGGACATAAAACACACCTTATTCAAATAAATTTTTTTTTTTTTTTTGAGTTGGAGTCTCACTCTGTCGCCCAGACTGGAGTGCAGTGGCCGCTCCCGACCACTGCAACCTCGACTTGCTGGGCTCCGCGATCCTTCCGCCTCAGCCTTCCGAGTAGCCAGAACTACAGGCACGTGTTACCACGCCCGGCTGATTTTTTTTTTTTTTTTTTTTTTTATTGTAGAGATGAGGTCTCGCTGCCCAGGCGGGTCTTGAACCTGCGGGCTCAGGCAATCCACTCACCTCAGCCTCCCAAAGGCTCGGGATTACAGGCTGAGCCACCGAGCCCGGTGGCAAATAAATATTTTTAAAAGATTTATCCATACATCCCAAAGGCAATTGGTAGACTTGGAGGAGATCTGCTGTGATCTGCAGTGCTAGTTCTTTCTGGCAGAACAAATCTTTTGTTATGACAATAAATTCTTGCTTTAATTTACTTTCTACCAACTCTAGTTCATCGTCTGAAACACGTAGGAAAAAAAAAGAAAATCTGCCTCCCTAGACCCCTCTATCCTACGTCTTTTATGGACTAATCACTACCCACCGTCTCCTACTTCCAGTGGGGAGAGACCCTAATTGGTGCTTTGATGAAGAGATTAAGAAAAACCCTTACTATTTTTGCAAAAGCATGTGCTATGCTAAAAGAAAATAAAATTAAATTTAAAAACAGCCAGGTACAGTGGATCATGTCTATAATTCCAGCACTTTAGGAGGTCCAAATGGGAGAATTGCTTGAGCCCAGGAGTTCAAGACCAGCCTGGGCAACATAGTGAGATCTCATTTCTACAAACAAACAAAAAAATTTTTTTTTAATTTTTTAAAAGAGAAAAAAGACCCTGTCTTACCCCCACTGCAGTTAATGCTTTAGTGGAGATGCTTTTCGAATCTATTTGTCAGTCCATTGCTGTCTTACCATAACTATTTACTAGACTTCCCACTTGTTTCAGATTAGGGAGAAAAACATGTACAAAACCATTGATAAAACCATCTATAAACAAGCATTCAACCCTGAGCCCCTGATCCGATGCTGGAACGAGTGCCTGGACAAGGCTTCCTTTCACAGCAGAAGAATGCAAGTGGAAGAGTTCAATAAGAAGAATTACTGGAAGAAAAGAGGCCTTGCCATTGTCCCCATGAAGTTTTCAGTTGGCTTTGCTGCAACAAGCTATCATCAGGTAAGACTCACAACCCTCATGCCAGGTGTACTCCTGGCCTGGTCAGCTTGTGTTGGCTTTGAAAGAATGTCTTGGCCAGGCGCAGTGGCTCAAGCCTGTAATCCCAGCACTTTGGGAGGCCGAGATGAGGGGATTGCCTGAGCCTGAGGGTTCAAGACCAATCCAGGCGACTTGGCAAGACCTCATCTCTACAATAAATCAAAAAATTAGCCAGGCATGGTAGCACGTGTCTGTAGTTCCGGCTACTTGGAAGGCTGAGGCAGAAGGATCACCAGAACCTAGCGGGTCGACGCTTGGGTGGCAGTGAGCATGCCATTGCACTCCAGCCTGGGCAATGGAGTGAGACTCCAATTCAAAAAGAAAAAGAAAAGATAAAGAAAGAATGTCCCGTGTCTCTGAGCCCTGAGCATCTGAGCCCAGGAGATAGGCCCAGAACTCTCCTGAGCAGCCTCCATCTGCAAGCATTACAGTAAAAAAGAAGTCCACGCTAGAAAACAGCATTGGCAAGATGACATCTGTGGCAGCATAATTGACGAGATGGCGGGATGACCCCCTCCCCTGAGACTCCATGCTGTTCCCAGAGGAAACTGGAACCCACAAGGCTGGTGGCGCTGTGCTTTCTGAGCTCAGGGTTTTCACGGCTTGGAGATGAAGGAGCTTCTCCCACTCTAAGCCCCCAGATGCCAACAGCACTCCTTGGTGTAGAGAGGCAGAGAAGTCCAACTGTCCACTAAGTTCTGGGCAGTAAGTCCAACCATCCATGAAGTCCTGGGTTGAGAAGTCTAACCATTCACTAAGTCCTGGGCAAAGAAGTCCAATTGTTCACTAAGTCCTAGACAAAGAAGACCATCTGTTCACTAAGTCCTGGGTTGAGAAGTCCAACCATCCACTAAGTGCTGGGTTGAGAAACCCATTCATCCACTAAGTCCTGAGCAGAGAAGTCCAACTATCCACTAAGCCCTAGACAGAAAAGTCTAACTGTCCACTAAGTCCTAGACAGAAAAGTTCAACCATCCACTAAGTCCTGAGCAGAGAAAACCAACTGTGTGCTTAGTCCTTAGCAGAGAAGTCCAATCACCCACTAAGCCCTGGGCAGAGAAGTCCAATTTCAGTTTTTCACAGTCCGATCAAATAAGTTGACTGCTTCCCTCATGGCCAAAGACTAAAGTCAGTGAGCTGGGAGAAAAGGGGTTTAATTTATTCTGCAACCAGGTCATAGAGAGAACTGTCAACATCATTACCAAAAACCTTCTCAAAGCAACACAAACTCACTCCAGTATTTCCACCCCAAATTCATAGCCCGTCACCCAATTTGAGTTTGAAGCCTACATGCAGTTTCAGTATGATTCAGAATTTTTTGACCGTGAAAATCTCCTGGTCATGCTGACATTTTTCAATAACATTTTGGAATTTACAACATGTTTTTTTTTACAGTTTTCCAACAGAAGGGGCAGACAATTGCAATATTTGAAACAAAGGGAAAGTCACAACATTTAAAATGATATAGTTATAAATTGTTTTAAAATACGATTGTAGAGCCGGGTTTGGTGGCTCAGCCTGTAATCCCATGCCTTGAGAGGCCGAGGTGAGTGGATTGCCTGAGCCCGCAGGTTCGAGACCCGCCTGGGCAACTTGGCGAGACCTCATCTCTACAATAAATCAAAAAAATCAGCCGGGCGTGGTAGCGCATGCCTGTAATTCCGGCTACTCGGAAGGTTGAGGCGGAAAGATCGCCGGAGCCCAGCAGGTCGAGGCTGCGGTGGCCCAGAGCGGCCACTGCACTCCAGTCTGGGTGACAGAGTGAGACTCCAACTCAAAAATAAAATAAAATAAAATTGTAACAAACCCTTGTTTTTAGAGGCCTGACCTATAACAATCTGATGTTCTATACTCACATAGGATGGGGAGGTAGCCAATGCCCACACCAAGCTTTCAGACACTCCTGCCAGCCTTGGACCATTCTTTACCTCTCCTCACTTTTAGGTGGTCTGGCTTACTAGATAAAATTGGCCTTCCAAACCAGTCAGGCAAAGCCATGCTAGGAGAGGAGCAGGGTGGTTGCATTCCGAGGGCAGCAAAGTGGAAGGAAGGAAAAATGTGTACGTTTAAATTCAAGCGGTTTTTACGGTCAGCCCAACTCAGCTACAAAAAAAAAAAAAAAAGAAGTTTCTCATTATAAGTTTCTAAGCCAACTTCTCATCTCATCATGAGAACATCTTTAAATCAAGCAATGACCATTAAGCCTCCATTTGAATAACCTCCAGCCTCTCCCAGAGCTCTAAATTGATGCGCCTGAGAATCCCCTGGCCTGGGAGTTAGTTGAAGGGTGTCAATCCAGGTCAGCTGGTGATGCACAAAGCCAGACACCTACTCTCCAAGCTGGCTGTGAGAACACTGTCCTCAGAGGGAGTCAAAGACCCACAGGGAGCAAGTCCTATTATTAGCACCTTCATGCCTCGCCACTCCAACCCCCTCCAAGCCATCCCTGGGCTTCTGGACATCTCCAGACATGAACGGATGGAAATCTTCACTACTCCTCTTCCTCCTCCTCCTCCTCCTCCTCCTCCTGGAAGGAAAAAATACCACTTGTCCACCCATCCAGTTTATCAAACATTTGTGTAGTGTCTCTGTGATTCAGACCCACTCAAAAGTTCTTACAGGACACAAAATGGGACAAGACCAGGTACCCCATCAGCAGGACTCAGAGACCAGCCCATTCTCTCCTGTATCCTGTTTCCTGCTATAACCAAGTACCAAAAACTGGGAGGCTTAGAGCAATCCATTTTCCTCTCACAATTCTAGAGGCTAGAAGTTCAAAGTCAAGGTGCGGACAGGGCTGTCCCTCGAAGGCTCCAGGGAAGAACCTGTCTCCTTGCTCTTTCAGCTTCTGGTGGCTCCTGGTGTCCCTTAGTTTGTGGCAGCATCATCCAATTACCACCTCCATCTTCACACGGCCTTCTTCCCTGGTGTCATCACGTGACCTTCTTATAAGGACACCAGTCACTGAATTTAGGGCCCCCCTCACCTATCTCAACTAATTACATCTGCTTGAGGTCACGTTCCAAGGTTCCGGGTAGACATGCATGAGGGGTGTGGGTGGACATGATTCAACTCAGTGTTTCCTGTAAGAGGAAGTACAGAGAAGGGGCGATAGATTCTTCCCAGATGGGGATGAGACGTGTTCAGGGAGGTGTTAACAGAGACTGTGGGATGTGGGTCTGCAGGCTGACAGACATTTCAGGGGACAGGAGGAACAACAGCTGGGACCAAAGACCACCTTGTACAAGAGCATGGGTGGGAGAGGGACTGCGGGGTCAGACCCAGAGGTGGGGGTGGGGGCAGTGAGACGGGGAGCACGTGAAAGCACATCACAAAGTGCCTGCCACAGCCATGAAGACCAGGGCTGTCCACAGGCACTGGGGAGTTTGCCCTCCTCACCCACTGGCAAACCCTTGCCCCTCTGTCATTCCACCCAGTTGTCTCTTTGTGGAACCTCTCCGAACAACACAAAAGGAGTAGATCCTATCTGCCCAGGGCCTCATTTGCCACCCCCATAATGTCACTGATTGTCCTGCACTCCAGTGACTTGATCTCCAACCTGTCTCCCCACTACATAGGGGGCCACTTGATCAAAGAGCCACCTCCTGTTCCTCCTTCTGCATCTAGAGCTGAGGACAGGTGGGCACCTGCCACGGGCAAGAACTTGGAAGCGTTTAAGCCATGAATTGATTGTGAAATACTATTCAGACATCAAGAAAAAAGAAATAGCATCAGCAACTTGGATGAGACTGGAAAACATCATCCTAAATGAACCAACACAAAAACAGAAAACTAAACACGGCATGTTCTCACTTATATGTGGGAGTTAAACTAAGGATCTGCAAAGGCATAGGAAATGGTATGGTGGACACTGGAGACTCAGAAGAGGGCGTAGGGAAACGATAGAGGGACGAAAAATTACCTGTCAGGTACAGCCTGCACAGGTGGGTCCACTTAAAGCCTAGACTTTGTCACCACTATACAATACAAGCTTGTAACCAAAAGCTATTTGTACCCCCTAAAACTTTTGAAATAAAACAATAATAATAAATAGGCCAGGCACAGTGGTTCAAGCCTGTAATCCCAGCACTTTGGAAGGTCAAAGCGAAAGGGGTTCGAGACCAGCCTGGGCAACTTGTTGAGACCTGATCTCTACAGTAAATCAAAAAAATTAGCTGGATGTGCTGACATGCGCCTGTAGTTCCAGCTACTTGGAAGGCTAAGGTGGAAAGATCGTTGAGCCCAGCATGCAGAGGCTGTAGTGGTCGTGAGTGTGCCACTGCACTCCAAGCTGGGCAACAGAGTGAGCCTCCAACTCAATAATAATAATAATAATAATTAATAAGTTGAAAGACCAGTCAGTGATCTGAAGCAGGGGAATGACTTTCAAATAACTGGAACCAAGACTCACAATTCCTGAGGTGTCCAGAAGGGCCCCTACTAAAACCAGAGGAATGTTCCTTGCACCAGGTGACTGTGCACAAAACGGAAGCAAGCTTCAGAACCTCCTGGGAAAGCCTATCTGTCTGCCCCCTCTCCCACCCTGCTCCCCGAGACTGGACTTCACGGCCTTGCATCTGATGCTGAGCCTCATTCCCACACGCTGGCCTGCTCTGAGCTGGGCCTTCTGGGTTGTCTTTCTAGGCGGCTGCACTTGTTCACGTCTACACAGATGGGTCTGTGTTGGTCACTCATGGAGGCAGTGAACTGGGACAAGGCATTCACACCAAGATGCTGCAGGTAGGATGGATGAAATTAAATCATTTCGTCTCTGTGGACATTGTGAATGTGACTAAAATCTGGTACTCGTCCTTTTGGGTAGACTCAAACCCTAGGATCTTGACCAATTGGTTGAGATGCTTCTTACATGACAGATAGAAGGGCTGAGGCGGCAGGATTCCGAGCATTGCAAGAACTCCTGGGCTGGGCCCGGATTTATGGATGGCGGCAGCTGTCAGTGAAATCACCACCAAGGAGCCCCTGCACCCTGTGGTGGGAGCTCATGCAGGCCTACCAAGAGCAGGAACTTCTCAGCTTTTCTGTTTTTAATGTTTATATTTTAAACAAGATTAGGGTGTTAATGTTTTATTTTGATAAGGAAGGATGAGTATTTCATCAACCGTCATCTATAACTTTTTTTTTTTTTTTTTTTTGAGTTGGAGTCTCACTCTGTCCCCCAGGCTGGAGTGCAGTGGCACAATCACAGCTACCACAGCTTTAACCTCCTGGGCTCAGGCCATCCTTCTACCTCAGCTTCCCGAGTAGCTGGGACTACAGATGCACGCCACCATGTCCGCACACCCAGCTAATTTTTTTTTTAATTGTAGAAACAAGGCCTTGCCATGCTGCCCAGTCTGGTCTCAAATTCTTGGGCTCAGGCAATCCTCTCACCTCGGCCTCCCAAAGTGCTGGAAAAACAGGCATGAGCCACTGTGCCTGGTCTTATAATTTTTAAAGAATATTTAACACAGACCTGGCACAGTGACTCAGCCTGTAATCCCAGCACTTTGGGAGACCAAGGCAAGAGGATTGTCTGAACCCCGGGATTCAAGACTAGCATGGGCAACTCAGTGAGATCTCATCTATACAATAAATCACAAAAACTAGCTGGGTGTGGTGGCATGTGTCTGTAGTTCCACCTACTTGGAAGACTGAGGTGGGTGGATTGCCTAAACTCAGCAGGTCGAGGCTGCGGTGGCCATGAGTGTGCCACTGCACTCCAGCCTGGGCAACAAGAATGAGAACTCAGCGGGCTCGGTGGCTCAGCCAGTAATCCCGCGCCTTTGGGAAGCTGAGGTGAATGGATTGCCTGAGCCCGCGGGTTCGAGACCCGCCTGGACAGCGAGACCTCATTTCGACAATAAATCAAAAAATCAGCCGGGCGTAGTAGCGCATGCCTGTAATTCCGGCTATTCAGAAGGCTGAGGCTGAAGGATTGCTTGAGCCCAGCAAATCGAGGCTGCGGTGGCCGTGATTGTGCCACTGCACTCCAGTCTGGGCGACCGAGTGAGACTCCAACTCAAAAAAAAAAAAAGAATATTTAACACATACATAAACACAAAGTGTATAAATATAATCTGACATGAAAAAAATCATTATTATTTAAATTGAATAAATTTAACTTTATAATAAATGTATTAGATTTGGTTTTTCTAATTTTTTTTGTTTAATTAGAGATGGAAGTCTTGCTATGTTGCCCAGAGAGGTCTTGAACTCCTGGCCTCAAGTGATCCTCCTGCCTTCGCCTCTCAAAGTACTGGAATTATAGGCATGAGCCACCGCCAGACCAACAAATATATTAGATAGTTACAGTGCACATCTGTAACTTTTGACGGTCCAACCCCTTAGCTCACCTTGGATATCATACCACTCACATTCCATATGTTTCTGAAAGATTCCTCGATTTATGGACCTTTTAGCCCCATCCCCTCCTTTCTCCCACACCTGCCACAGAAACACACACAAGACCCAGTCCTGGTAGTTCATGGTTCCTGAACCCACTGACCCCAGGAAGAAGGCACATGACTGAGGCAAGGCCTTTCCTGGGACCGATATGTAGATGTTGGAGAAAGAAACCATCTTCCCCTGTGGCTGTCAGGTGCTGTGCTGCACGCCAGCAGTGGCCAGGGGCTGTTCTGTGCCATGGACGAAACCTGTCTTGCTGTTTCCTTCTGTGGCCATCAATGAAGGAAAAGCAAGTGTGAGAAGCTGAGGGAGGACCCTGATGAGGCCAGGAAGCCCCTAGATGCAGACATACCTGATACCAGATCCTTCCATCCCTCCCAGTCACATGAACCAATGAATTCATACAAATTCGTGTCTTTTCATCATGAATAAATAAAATTTGTCCCTTTTTTTCTTTTCTCTTTCTTTTATTTTTGAGTTGGAGTCTCACTCTGTCACCCAGGCTGGGGCGCAGTGGCATGCTCATGGCCTCCCCAGCGACGACCTGCTGGGCTCTGGCGATCCTTCCACCTCAGTCTTCCAAGCAGCCAGAACTACAAGCATGCACTACCATGCCCCACTGATTTTTTATTTATTGTAGAGACGAGGTCTCACCAAGTTCCCCGGGCGGGTCTCGAACCCGTGGGCTCAGGCAATCTGCTCGCCTTGGCCTCCCAAAGTGCTGGGATTACAGGCTGAGCCACTGAGCCTGGCCCCTTTTTTCCATTTTGCATATTTCTGGGGAAACTTAATACTGAATGGCATTATTTAGAAGATTGGCATCTGGGAACAGGTATGGGCATATACCCACAGACATCTTGAGAAGGTATTTTTTGCAAAAACTAAATGACAACAGCAGCCAAAATAATGCTTTTTTCTTTTCCTTTCTTCCCTCAATTTCATTTCTTTCATTTTCATTTCTTCTTGATTAAATATCTTAATTTCCACCTGTATTTGCTAGAGAGACTGGAAGAAAAAAGACAAGAGACTGGGAACAGTGGTCCATGCCTGTAATACCAGCATTTAGGGAGGCTGAGGCAAAAAAATTGCTTGAGTCCAGGAGTTCAAGACCAGTCTAGGCTACACAGCAAGATCTTGTCTCTAGCATTTAAAAAATAATTTTTAAAAAGTTTTTAAAGAACAGAAAAGAAACCAAACACAGTGGCTCATGCCTGTAGTCTCAGCTACTCAGAAGACTAAGGCAGGAAAATCACTTGAGCCCAGGTGTTTGAGACCAACCTGGGCAACATAGCAAGACTCCATTTCTAAAAAGATAAATTAATTAATTAGTTTATTTTAAAAACAGAAAAGAATGGACAGCAAATACTAGAAGAATATCAGCAAGGGAAAACAAATAGAAAAGGGGTAGGAAGCTAAATTAAGATAGGGTGAGGGCAAGAAAGAAAACAGGTCTCAGGGTCATTCAAGTTCATCTGACACTAATACCAACAGATTTCAGATGATTCGGAATCAATCCACTTAATCTCAATCTCTCGCTCTTTTTCTTCCTGCCACTACACCAAATAAGTACCTGAAAATCTCAATTTGGCCTACTTCCAACACATGTAAAACTCAGAAAAAAGGAAATCCTTGGCATTCTAAATGCACTAAACTTGAAAAGAAGAACTATTGTGGAATATTACCCCAAAAAATTCTAAAACTCAGCATGAAGCCCCACTAAAAAGTAGTTTATTTTTTGTTTTGTTTTGCTTTGTTTGAGTCAGGATCTCACTCTATCGCCCAGGCTGGAGTACAGTGGCACGGTCACGACTCACTGCAGCCTCGACCTCCTAGGCTCAGGCAATCCTTATGCCTCAGCATCCCGAGTAGTTAGGACTACAGATGCATATCACCACACTGGCTAATTTTTGATCTGTTGTAGAAACAAGATCTCGCAATGTTACCCAGGATGGTCTCGAACTCCTGGACTCAAGCAATTCTCCTGCTTTGGCCTCCCAAAGTTCTGGGATTGCAGGCATGAGCCAATGCATGTGGTCTAAAAAGTAATCTTGATGCTTGCAAAGCAGGTTATTTTAGGCTTAAAAGGATATCATGGATGTAAATTTTAAGATAATAATTTTGTATTATTAAGAAAAATAATAACTCAAATCTTCAAGAAAGCCCTTGCAGGATTCTAAAGTACTTCTTTTTCTCATAGGTGGCCAGCCGTGAATTGAAAGTACCCATGTCCTCTATACACATCAATGAAACAAGCACAGCAATGGTGCCTAATACAGTTGCCACAGCAGCGTCCGTCGGTGCAGATGTCAATGGCAGAGCCGTGCAGGTGCCTCCTCCCATCTTTCTTTCCCAAGTGTGCATTTCCCATGACTCTGGTTTCTGTAGCTGGATACAGACTTAGTGGTTGGCTTCAGCAAAGTCATCTGAGACCGGGCGCGGTGGCTCACGCCTATAATCCCAGCACTTTGGGAGGCCAAGGTGAGAGGATTGCCTGAGCCCGTGGGTTTGAGACCATCCTGGGCAGCTTGGTGAGGCCTCATCTCTACAATAAGTCAAAAAATCAGTCAGGCATGGTGGCGCGTGCCTGTAGTTCCACCTACTTGGAAAGCGGAGGCAGAAGGATCCCTGAGCCCAGCAGGTCGAGGCCGCAGTGGCAGGGAGCGTGCCACTGCCCGTCAGCCTGGGTGACAGAGTGAGACTCCAACTCAAAAAAAAAAGCAGAGAAGTCATCTGCGTCACCAATCATGGGCTTGGGATACCCAAAATGTCAGGAGAGTGTCTAAGCTGGAGTAAGCTAAACTGGGGTGACAAGTAGACCTAGAATATAGTGACTTGAGCACAACAAAAGCCCCTTTCTTGCACACGGCAGTTCAGAGGAGTGCTGGATCCTTCAATTACCCAGGTTGAGAGAGGTGCTGCCCCTCCAACATGTGGTCATCAAGGTTGTTGTGGGCAGCAGTCATCACCACAGTAAGCATAGAGGAAGGAGCCAGTGAGGAAGACTCCAGGCCACATTCCCACTCATAGCCCGTTTGCAGAACCAGTGTCAGCGGTGTCTAGCGGCAAGCGAGGCTGGGAAATACGGAGTAGTGAGAAACCGTGTGCCTAGCTACTCTGGAAGAAGGACGATTGGATTTTTTGCCTCTGCTCCCAGGAAACACAGCAAAGAGAAATGTGGACACCCAGCAAGGCAGAGCTGTGCAAACTGCCCCAGCACAGCACAAATGCGCCCTAGCAAGCAGATGGGCAGGCAGACCCCTCCAAGGAGACTGGGTACAGTTAAAGCATTGTCACCAGAGTATCCTGTGAAAGTATCAGAGCTTTTCTTTGTACCTATTTTCTAACTGATGTTTTTTAAAAGTGCTACATTTTCAGTATCTCAGAATAAAATCATGACTTCATAGTTCTTATTTCAAAGATCTGATTGCATATACTTTTTGTTTTTTGAAGTTTTTGTTTGTGTGTGTGTTTGTTTTTGTTTTGTTTTTTAATAGAGACAGGGTCTCGCATTGTTGCCCAGGCTGGCCTGGAACTCCTGGACTCAGGTGATCCTCCTGCCTTGGCATCCCAAAATGCTGGGATTATAGGCATGACCCACTTCACCCGGCATGACTGCATGTAATTTTGAAATATTATCTATTTGCCATGTTACTGTTGCAAAGCACTCATTTTTTCCATTGGGACATTGTGAGGAGGCATATTTTCCTGGACACAGTAGTGGTGCTAACAAGAGGAACCACTTTCAAGCAGTCTGAATTGTGTGGAGAGACTGCTCATGCTGTCAGAATGAACAGACTCTTTTTTGCTCAGAACGAATGTGTAAGCAACTGTAAATGCATGAGCTCCAATCTGGGATAGAATGAAACACAAGAGAGAAGTAGCTCGATGTATCTAGGAGTTTTAGCTCCAAATAAGTGTCAATCCATCTTCCAGGATATAGTTTTAGGCTTCTGTGTTAAGGGTCTTAAACTCTGTGGATCAGCCAGACTCGGTGGCTCAGCCTGTAATCCCAGCACTTTGGGAGGTCGAGGCGAATGGATTGCCTGTGAGTTTGAGACCAGCCCAGGCAACTTGGTGAGACCTCAGCTCTACAATAAAAACAAAATTTTTTAAAAATTAGCCAGGAATGGTAGCATGTACCTGTAGTTCCGGCTACTTGGAAGGCTGAGGTGGAAGGATTGCCAGAGCCCAGCAGGTCGACACTGGGGTGGCCATGTGTGTGCCACTGCACTCCAACCTGGGTGAGGGAGGGAGACTCCAGCTCAAAAAAATAAAATAAAATAAAATAAATTGTCTGTAGCCACACTACCCTGAACACACCCGATCTCATGTGGTCTCAGAAGCTAAGCTAGATTGGGTCTGGCTAGTACTTAGATGGGAGATCGCATGCTGCTGTAGACTTTATTAACAAATAATTAATTAAGCAATTATGTTCTCATTTCACACCCAAAGCCTTGGCCTTCATTACATTAGTTTAATGGTGAATGGATGAGGGATGGACAGAGTTGAATGTTTCGGACCCAGAGGAATCCTGGCATGTCATTGTTGCAGACTGAAAAGCACAAATCTGAATGAAAATAGAATGTTTATTCCATTTATTTTCACGGCTAGAAAATACAAACGAAGATAAACAAAAATTACAAATGATGTAGGGAAAAAAGAAATTAAGAACTTAAAATTCTAAGAAGGAGGATCTGAGAGTAGAAATTCAGCTGAACCCACATTTCACAGGATGAGAACCAGGAAGCAAAACCCCTCTGGTAACAGATACTCTTCCTTCTGTGTGTCTCTGTGTTCCTAATGGGGCAGGACTTCCCAATGTATAAACACTTGCTGTCCTAATCCACGCTCAGTGCATGTTCTTTTGCACAAATCCTAGCCACTGGGCTCTTCTCTAATGGGGATTCTCTTCTTTACTACTTTAAGAATGCTTGTCAGAGCCTTCTGAAACGCCTTGAGCCCATCATTAAGAAGAATCCGGAAGGTACCTGGGAAGACTGGGTAAGTGTTCCCCTGTATTTGTGACTACAAATGAGAAAACAACCCAAACCAGTGCTAAGTGTCACAGCAGTGCACAGCCACCTCAGGTAGAGATGGTTCCTCCACATGTTACAGGCTTCTTCCCCAGATGAGTAGATTTCTGCAAAAGAGCAGGATCTCCAGAGGCTGAGAAGAGTACTCCAGGGTGTACATCAGGTATGTGTGGAGACAGTGCATGGGAAACAGCAGTCTCTGGGAGGAAGAATGGATGTGTATGAAGAACACACTCTGCTTAAGAAATAAGAGGAACTGGGCATGGTGGTTCATGCCTGTAATCCCAGCACTTTGGGAGGCCAAGGCAAGAGGATTGTTTAAGCCCAAGAGTTCGAGACCAACGTGGGCAACATAGCAAGACCTCATGTTCTACAAAAAATAAAAAATAAAAAAATAGCCAGGCATGGTAATACATGCCTGTAGTGCTAGCTACTTGGGAGGCTGAGGCAGAAGGATCACCAGAACCCAGGAGGTCGAGGTCATGGTGAGCCATGACTGTGCCACTGCACTCCAACCTGGGCAATAGAGTGAGACTCCAACTTTAAAAAAAGAAGAAGAAGAGGAAGCCCCAAATACTTTGTGTACTAAGTCCCTATATCCTGTACATGCAACAGGAGACTATTTTGTGTTTGTTCACTCCAGACTTCTAAACTCAGAAGGAAGTGGTTAGCTTACCAGCCAGGGAAACATAACATCCTGGTTAGTTCTATTATTGGTAGCAAAGCACCAGCAACAGTGATGAGATGTCAGCTTTATAAAGAATCATTTCACCCTCGCCTATCAGAGGGTATATTTATTTTATTTTAACGAAGTATACCCATTCTACAGATAGAAGCTGCATTTGAACAAAGAATCGGTCTCTCGGCCACTGGATACTTCAGGTAAAAATCACAATAATGTCTTGATTTACTGAGAAAACATGAGGTAACCCAATCACTTTGGGCCTCAGTTTTTTCATTTGTGAACTAAGTTTCTATTATGTGATCACTGAAGCTACTTCTAGGTCTCAAATTCCATGATTTCACATAGACCTTTCAGTCATGCCCAAAGAAATATTAAATAACAAAAATACCCCATTAGATAAAAGGAAAAAAAACCCATTTGACTTACAATATCTCATTACATACTATGCTCTATTGTGAGTAGTAAAAAGATATTAGAAATAACTCGCAACTGGTCAGGCATGGTGGCTCACAGCTATAATCCCAGCATTTTGGGAGGCCGAAGTTGAAGGATTGCTTGAGGCCATGAGTTCAAGACCAGCCTGGGCAACATAGCAAGACGTCATTTCTACCAAAACATTTTTTTTAAATTAGCCAGGTGTGGTGGCACACGCCTGAGTCCCAGCTACTCAAGAGGCTGAGGCAGAAGCATCACTTAAGCCCAGGAGGTCGATCGAGGCTGCAGTGAGCTATGATCACACCACTGCACTCCAGCCTGGGTGACAAAGCAAGACCCCATCTATGGGGGCGGGGGGAGAAAGAGAAAGAGAAAGAAAGAGAAAAAGAACTTGCATCTCAGTTTTAGAAACCTCCTTCCTTTGCCCTAAAGCCTTTCTATTTTGAAGCTCCTTGATGCCCAGAGGTTTATGGGTGCAATGACTATCACCAGTTATCACTTCCACAGTGTCCATCCATGGGAGGCCCTTGGTAAATCATGTTAATTGAATGCAGTGCAGAGAGAAGAGCTGACTGTCAAGTTCAAGAAGCATACAGCATTAGTTTTACAATCCCATGAAACAAGGAACCTGCCTCACCCAGTGCCCTGCCCATCAGGAGTACTAAATGCAGTTGTTCAGTTACCCAAGAAGAGAGCATACCAGCCCTCGATCTCCACACATCTTCCACTATAAATTACAGCATCGGGGCTGGGTATGGTGGCTCACACCTGTAATCCCAGCACTTTGGGAAGTGGAGACAGGACTGCTTGAGTCTGGGAGTTCAAGACCAGCCTGGGTAACATAGTGAGACCCCCATCTCTAAAAAAAAATCAAAAAAATTAGACAGGCATGGTGGCGTGCACCTGTAGTCCCATTTACTTGGGAGGGTGAGGCAGAAGGATCGCTTGACACCAGGAGGTTGTGACTATAGTGAGTCATAATCATGCCACTAAACTCCAACCTGGGCAACAGAGTGAGACCCCAACTCAAAAAAGAAAGAAAAAGAGAGGGAGGGAGGGATAGATGGACAGAAGGAGGATGTAAGTTTTTTTGTTTTTTGTTTTTTTTGAGTTGGAGTCTCATTCTGTCGCCCAGACTGGAGTGCAGTGGCCGCTCCCGGCCACCGCAGCCTTGACCGCTGGGCTCCGGCGATCCTTCCGCCTCAGCCTTCCAAGTAGCCAGAATTACAGGCATGCGCTACCACACCCGGCTGATTTTTTGATTTATTGTAGAGATGAGATCTTGCTGCCCAGGCGGGTCTCGAACCCACGGGCTCAGGCAATCCACTCACCTCAGCCTCCCAAAGGTGTGGGATTACAGGCTGAGCCACCGAGCCCAGCTGAGGATATAAATTTACTTCATTGAATGACCAGTCCTTTTCACCAGCCCCGAATTACCATCAATTCCCTGTGAGTTTAGTTAGCACAATCTACGAAGTCCCTCTGGGAACACTGGTTAAAATCAGTCTAGGTTCTTAATGAGCTGGTGAGGCTAAAACTCAAATTCTAGACCCCCAAGATGCAGTCACACTGTGAGATCCAGACCCAGACAGTCTGTGGACTTCTCCCTCTTTTTGACATTCTAGCTGCAACACAAGGATGATCTCTTTAAAATGGAGGCAAATGATAACCAGCCAAGTCACAAATACAAAGTAGCCATTTAAATGAGCTTTAAAGGTGATTGAAATGAAACAAACACCAATCCAATGAAAAGGCAACATGAAACTTGGGTAATTTTCAAAATTAATTAGCATTGTTTGTACTCACCTCCCCACTCCAAGCTACGCTATTTCTTTCCTCAGGGGCTACAAGGCCTTCATGGACTGGGAGAAGGGGGAGGGAGAACCGTTTCCCTACTATGTCTATGGAGCTGCCTGTTCTGAGGTTGAAATTGACTGCCTGACAGGCGCTCACAAGGTAAGTCAAATCTTACTATCTTCTTGGCAAGTTAAAACAACAATAGCTGTGTGCTGTACAGTAAGTAGTCCCATTCCGTTATGTAATTAATACTCATACAGCAAGAACAAGATCTTTCCAGTTCCATGGGAGCATCCAGAGATCCAGCCTCACCCTGAATTTCCACTTGAAAAGACAACACAATCATCAAGAAGGAATGGCTCATGTCAAACTGAAATGTATTAAATGTTTTATTCCATTTCAGACAACAAAAATCTCTCTCCAAAGTTTTTCCCCAGAAAAAGTTTCTATTCCTAAAGTAAGGAACAATTTTCTAATCTTAAAGTCTTGTTAACTTAGTAAATAGTCTTAAGCAACATTTTGAAAGCATGTAGCAAAGTGCTAATGTTTCTCCAAAGTTAAGTGTCCCAGAGGTACTACTGACCTCTAAAGAAATAGATTTGGGGAGGAAGGGCGGGTATGAACATAATTTTTGTGTTTGCTGCGTAACTGGGCATCCAAGAAATTACCTATTAGAGACAAGGAATCATCTTTAACCCAAAGTTAATAAATTGTATCAAGGGATTAACCCATGAATATACCCCACGTACTTGTTCTGGGAACAAAGAAATTACAGAAACTTTAAGTAGACTATAGTATAACCCAGAGTATAGTAAATTGTTAAGAAGTTTATAGGATGCTCCAATAACCCATCCAAAGTCCACATAACAATTGTTCCCACGTTATCTTGAACCACCTTGCCCAAAAACAGAAATGGTCAATTTGTATAAAATAGACACAGATTGACCAGGCAAGGTGTTCATACCTGTAATCCCAACACTTTGGGAGGTTGAGGTGGGAGAATCACTTGAGGCCAGGAGTTCAAGACCAGCCTGGGCAACATAGCAAGACCCCATTCTGTTTTTTAATATAAAAATTATAAAATTATTCTTTCAAAGATTAGATTTAGCAGATAAAAATATAGGACAGGTCGCCCAGTTAAACTTTAATTTCAGATAAATAATTTTCTGGTATAACTACATTCCATGCAATATTTGGGATATGTTTACCTGTCAAATCTGCCTGGGGACATTGGTATAAACTCCTAAAGAAGCGAACCTCATGAGGGTCTCCCAGAATCTGTGGTACCAGAAAAGTTAAAATTTTGTCCTTTCTGTGCCTTCCAGCTTACATTTGCAGTTTAAGGTTCAGTCATTTCAGTATCACTTTATTCCCTAAAATAGTTTATTCCTTAAAAGAGGCAAAATTTATTTTAATTAAAGATAAGTCAGCAGGCATGATGGTTCATGCCTGTAATCCCAGCTCTTTGGGAGACAGAGATGAGAGGATTGCCTTAGTCAAGGCGTTTGAGACCAGCCAGGGTAACTTGGTGAGACCTCATCTCTACAGTTAATCAAAAATTTAGCCAGGCATGGTGGCATATGCCCGTGGTTCCAGATACTTGGAAGGCTGAGACAGAAGGATCACCTGAGCCCAGCAGGTCAACACTGGGATGGCCGTGAGTGTGCCACTGCACTCCAGCTTGGGTAACAGAGTGAGACTCCAACTCTAAAAAAAAGGGATGGAAGAAGAGAAATCAAGGCTAGGTGGCTCATGCCTGTAATCCCAGCACTTTGGGAGGCCAAAGCAGGAGGATTGCTTGAGCCCAGGAGTCAAGACCAGCCTGGGCAACATGGCAAGACCTCATCTCTACAAAAAAAATTTTTAAATCAGTCAGACATTGTGGTATTGACTGTAGTCCCAGCTACTCAAGAGTCTGAGGTGGGAGGATCGCCTGAGCCCAAGAAGTTGAGTCTACTATGAGCCATGATCATGCCAGTGCATTCTAGCCTGAGCAAAAGAGTGAGACTCTAACTCAAAAAAAAAAAAAAAAAAAATTAACCAGGAGGAGTTCTGGAATAACTGGAGATCATTTGAATAAACCTGAAGGTAATATTTTCTAGTTCAAATTTTTATGATGAGATGATCTTTATTTTGGCCAGAAAATCAGAACAGACATCGTCATGGATACAAGTTGCAGCCTAAATCCAGCCATTGACATTGGGCAGGTAAGTGCTGGCCCACATGGGGGTGTGCTTCGTCCTGCAAGATGAAGGCCTTCTGTGAAGCTGCAATATCATGAAGCTTGAAACTGTCCCCTTTCAGATTGAAGGTGCGTTTGTCCAGGGAATGGGCCTATATACCACGGAAGAGCTGAAATACTCCCCGGAAGGCATCCTGCACTCTCGGGGCCCAGATGAGTACAAGATTCCAGCCGCTGCTGACATCCCAGAGGAGTTCAATGTCTCCTTGCTGCCGTCATCACAGAATCCCCTAAGCATCTACTCATCTAAGGTGAGCACCCAACCCCACTACCTCACAGTGTGATGGGTTGGGTTGCAGGATGGTCAGGGAAAGTAGGCAGGCAAAATAATAAGTAAATATTATCTGTTGTCAGGACCGCTGTGAGATTTTGGACTTGGACATGAATCACTGAGAGAAATCTGTGAGATTTTGGACTTGGACATGAATCACTGAGAGAAATCTGAGATTCACAGATGATAAATGATTCACCCAATGGCAATTGTGGGCCAAGGGTCTTCGTAATGTCCTCTTTCACTGAAAACTCTAAAATTCTGTAAAAAGCTTTGGCTTCATGATAGACTAACACTTTCATTTAAGACCCTTGAGACTATAGCATTGACTGGGCATGGTGGCTTACACCTGTAATCCCAGCACTTTGGGAGACTGATGCAGAAGGATCTCCTAAGCTCAGGAGGTCGAGGCTGCAGTGAGCCATGATCATGCCACTGCACTCCGGCCTGGGCGACAGAGAGAAACTCTGACAAAAAACAAACAAACAAATAAACTAACAAAAAACTATAACATTACACGAGATTGAAGGCATAATGTGACTGAAATCTTAGAAAACATGGCAGCATGGACACAGCCCTGGAATGAGGCCTCAGAAACCCTGGGTTCCTGCCCTGGTCCCACTCCCTCCCTGAGATCTTGGACAAATCCCTCACCTCTGAGGGGCTCAGGGTCCTCACCACACCCAGAAATGAACTAGAGCAGTGGGTCTTACGTGGGAAGAGGGGGCGATTTTGCCAGATAACTTTTGGCGATGTCTGGAGACGGACGATCCTGGTCTCCAGGGAAAGGGTTGGGGCGGGTGCTGCCACTAGGGGCGGTAGGGGCCAGGGTTGTTGCTAAACAGCCTCCATGCACAAGGCAGCCCCACCCACCATGACAAAGAGCGATCTGGCCCAAGCTGTCAATAGCAACAACAAGCCAGGACATCAACCCTCAGTAATTGCCAAAGCAATGAAACTACAAATCAGAACAAAGGTCAGCTCTTACTTGCACTGCTGTGTGCAGATGAAGTGAATACCACCCTCAGAGGTGGTGTTAAGGTTTTCTTTAAAATCTTTTGAGGCCAGGCACGGTGGCTCAGCCTGTAATCCCAGCACTTTGGGAGACTGAGGCGAGAGGATTGCCTGAGCCTGCGGGTTCAAGACCAGCCTTGGTGAGACCTCATCTCTACAATAAATCACAAAAACTAGCCGGATGTGGTGGCATGTGTCTGTAGTTCTAGCTACATGGAAGGTTGAGGCGGAAGAATCACCTAAGCCCCGCAGGTAGAGTCTGCAGTGGCCGTGAGCGTGCTGTTGCACTCCAGCCTGGCGACAAGAGTGAGACTCTAACTCAAAAAAAAAATTTTTGAAACCAGGTGTGGTGCCACCTGCCTGCAGTCCTAGTTACTCAGGAGGCTGGAGTGAGAGGAATGCTTGAGCCCAGGAGTTTGAGACCAGCCAGGGCAACATAGCAAGACCCTGACTCTACAAAAAATCTTAAAAATAAGCCAGGTGTGGTGGTGTGCACCAGTAGTGCCAGCTACTTGGGAGGCTGGGGTGGAGGGATCGCTAGAGCCCAGGAGTTTGAAACCAGCCTGGGCAACATAGCAAGACCCTGTCTCTATAATCAATGAATCATCAATCAATCAACCTTTGGGGAAACTTCCTGCTAATAACTGCCTCCCCCTCAAAAAAAAGAGTCCAAATATATCTGCAGGAATGTCATCATTTCCAAAATGGATCCCATGTTCAGTCTGAGAACGTCCTCTGGATGTATGGTGACAAGGTCAGGGAAAACATGAAAGGAAGATCAAGTGGACCTTTGAGCTCTCACTGAACTGGAAATCACTCTGAGGGGAGGAAAAGGGCAGCTCTGAGCCCACAGAGAGAGCTTCCAACCACCAAGAGCCACAAGGCCTATGGGCCCCTCGAGCCCTGGCTGTGGCGCCCCTCACAAGCAGAATGTCAAAAGAGTCGCGGATGGCAGTTACCCCAGGGAGTGTCCTATGCAATGATAATGGGGAACTACTGGGTGCTGTGCTGTGCTGTGCTGTGCTAGGTGCTTCTGTGCCTCCTGATGCTCACAACACCTATGAGGTAGGTGCCATCACCCACATTTTCCTGACCAAGGAGCAGAGGCAGGGAGAGATGACGTCACTCACGCAGAGGAGCCCTGGGAGTCAGGGCCAGGATCCAGACTTGCTTTTTCTAGTCAAGTGTTGCAAATGGGAGGCCCACTGGCTAAGTCTAACCTGAAGATGTATTCTCTTTGGCCTGCATGGTGTTTTTAAGAGCCAGGGAATTTTACATTAAAATATAAATATCTAAATTATCTTGAAAAATAGGATGATCTGGTAATGTTGGCTGCATTCCTGGAAGGCAACAATGAACTAGACCCAAAGAACAGCTACTCCTTTTAGATAGGACACAGGGATACCTCTACTTTGCCATACTCCCCACTACTCCTTACTGTCCTTCATCCATCTACATCACTCATTTACAATGCCTGCCTGTCCCTTACAAATGATGAGTTTGCAACCTTTCCTCTGGTGTCAAAGTCTCCTTCTTTCTAGAACACCCTGCCTCTCTAGCCCTGGAGTCATAATGAGGTTATTCTCTGCTGATGAAGTTGTCCAGCTCAACCCATTAAATGTTCTTTACTTAGTTCAGAACTACACAAAGACTGACATGCACACACACACACACATCCTTTTCTATGGAATCAAAATTTAACCCAGACAGCATTAAAAATCAGGGAAGTTCAGAATATATGGACATTTCTAAGAGTACTCAAGCATCATTCCATCAGTAAGTCAGTCAACAAACATTTATTGACAACCTTTTATGTGCAAGACACTCTGCTGAGGCAGGGGGTGGTGGGGAGATGATGGTAGACAAGTTCTGGCCCATGCTGTCTATTGACTTGTTGGCTAATGGAGAAGTTTCTGAAACAAATGTGCCTTCTTCCAGGGCCTGGGAGAGTCTGGGATGTTCCTGGGGTCGTCTGTGTTCTTTGCCATTGCTGATGCTGTGGCCTCAGTACACAGAGAAAGAGACACAGGCGAGGACTTCACGGTGCACAGCCCTGCCACACCAGAACGGGTCCGAATGGCCTGTGCAGATCGCTTCACAGAAATGGTATGGAATCATTATTCATTTTTCCACAGTTGTTTTTTCTATTTCCTGTTTCTTAGACCTCTTGGGTAAGTTTATAACCAAAACTATATCTAGCTAATCAAATTATAAAATGGTAAAAACAAATCACATGGCCAGGCTCAGTGGCTCAGCCTATAATCCCAGCACTTTGGAAGGCCAAGGCAAGTGGATTGCCTGAGCCC